TTTTTAAAAGACCACATGTCCCATTAAACAAAGCATAATAACTCAACCAGCTTTTTAGCAGATTTAAAGTGACAGACACACACAGATAAGAGAATGAAGGGTATGGGAAATATTTGCTTTGTCCCCCTTTTGTCATACGTTTCACGAAGATATTTCAGACACCTCTTAGCAATTGATAGGTTGGTATACCCCCAACGCAGACTATGTGGAGCCTTTTTTTAGCCTCGAGTGTTTACAGAATTTCTTTTACTTTTTTTCCACTAACTTTCACCTAACATGTTCGATAAACTCATACCATTCTTTGACATGCTTAAACCTTCTATTTTTGTTCTATGCTTTCTGTAACCAGCCATTCTATTATAGAACAAAATGTACCATACAAGATTCTTTCCTATATAATCATTATCTTTTTCTTTATCCTTTCTTACTAAAAACATACCTTACACCAACAACTTTCTTTACGTTTTTCTTAACCTCAGAGCTCTAACCAAAGCAATAAGTTTATATGCAGTGGAAGGGCTTAGATAGGATCCAGTGTGGAACTATTAGGGAAATCCAAAGCTACACAAAAAGGCACCCAAAAGGCACAGTGGTGATAGTTTAGGATAAGGAATAATACGAGTTTTAATTTTTGTAACATTGCTGGATTTCCATCTGGTCTTTGAAAAACCTCTTTTATTCTGTCCTAGTTAGCCTGTTTATTAACACCTTTTTGTAGTTAGCTAACAGGATTTATTTACATGATCCCTTTACTTTTGTTTGGGAAGAAGGTTGATATAGTTTCAGTTTAGATATAACTTGAGAGAAATTTATGATAAGAAAACAACAAAGACTTGTTGCCGCTTGTAGGGATGCTACCAGGAGGTTATCAAGCAGTGAGGGGAGGGGGGTGAAAAGGCACCGTGGCCTTTGGCACTGGTCCCTTTTCCGAAGGTAAAAGAGAAAGACTGAAGGACAGGGTTAGGTGCCACCGCCGTTGATACGAGCCCTTCCTTCTCAGATAAAGGTGGAGGGTGAAAAGGAGGAGAAACTGATGGAGAGTGGAATAGCAAAAGCAGACTATAGGAGGTTTATCTGCTGGGTTTAAGTTAGAAATAGAGGGAAGTGGCAGGATTAGTTGTGTATGATTTAAGACTTTTTTTTTTTTATTTGTGAGAGGTCTGAGATAGAGAAGGGGACGTGTACCTGAATGACCGGTATGGCCTTGGGTCAGGTTACCGGAGGGCTATACTAGGGGGTGATTGAAAGGGGAGGGCACAGAGGTTGATTGCTGGAGAAGTGGGTGGAGCTGAAGAGGAAGGAGGGGGCTCCTCTGCAGGATTGAAATCCGAGATGGGAGAGGAGCAAGCCGCCGGGAGGGGCCTTACAGTGTTTGTGGTGGGGTGAGGGGAGTTTGGAGGAGGAAGTACAGATGCTTGTGGGACAAAGGGAGGGAGAGAAGCTATAGAGGGAGTGTTTACAGAAGAGAGAAAGGGACTGAACGTGGGGAATCTCTACCCACCGTTCTGAACGTTCACAGAAATTATATAGGCCACTGATTTTGGTTGTCTAAGTGATATGTTGGCCAGTCTTGTGTGTGTAGAGGCGAATTAGGCATTTGGGTTTGATATCAGGAGAGAGAGAGAGAATCGGCCAGCAGGGATTACGAGCCTCCCATAGTAAGACAGGTGGACCAAACAGGGCATCCCCTGAAGAGTCGGCTGTCTGAGAAGTGTGGCTGTGGCAAAGTCTATTGTCACAGAGGTTGGGCACAACCAGGGTTCTTCTGGAGAACCGAGGGGTCAAGGCACCTAGCGCTAGGATTTCCCAAAACAGACAGAGAGCACTTGACCGAGCGGCAGATAGGGAGTGTATTTACTGCTAGTCGAACAGAGTTTTTGATGTGGGAGCCCTTCAGAATCCGCTGTGGGTCAGCAGACGTGGCCCGGCAGCCGTGGGATTCCTTAGGGAGGGGGGAGAGAGAGAGAGAGAGAATTTTACTGAAACCGCTATGGGTTAGCAGCCGTGGGGCCCCTGGTGCCCACTGCAAACTGGCAACCATGGGAGTTTTTAAAGTTTGAGAGAGATAAAGGAGAAGAGGAAGCCTTTAGTGTCCGTGGTGGTCATGAAAGCCGAGGCGCGTGTGTTCCCCCTTGCCTGGGGAAGTTTTTTGCTCCCTTGTCTGGGGGAGGGGAACTTACCTATCCAACGGTCGCTGATGGATGCATTTTACGCGTTCAAAACAGTGGGAAGGTCCAGGAGGGCTGGAGTGGCCACAGGCGCCAGGTTGGGGCTTTTGCCTATGGGAATACACCCACATAGAGGTGAGGGAGCACCCATTTGAGTTGCCTCACCAATGAAAGAAGTTTGGCACCAGCAAAGACTCCACACCCGGTCTGAACCAAGAGATTTATTAAAGGGGCAGTTACACGAAGGGACTGTAACCGAGGAAGAGCAAGAGAGAGACAGAGAAAGAAAGACTGAGAGAGAGAGAGAGAAGGAGAGAGAGAAGGAGAGAGAGAGTGAGAGAGGGGGAGAGAGGACAAGAGTGTGAAAGAGAGTAAGAGAGAAGGAGAGAGAGAGAGAGAGAGAGAGCAAGCAAGAGAGTGGTGGGGACAGAGAGAGAAAGCAAGAGAGAGAGAGAGAGAGAGAGCTATGCAAGAAGAGGGGTATATTTATGGACCTTGCAGGGGCTGGCCAGTGCTGTGCTTGAGTTTTATTGGAGGAGACTATGAGGTAGTATTCCTATAGGGAGAGGTTGTTTGAGCACAGGTTTAAGTTTCGCGCAGGCGGAAAAAGCCGCTTAGGGCCTTTGTTGTCTTTGGGAGGCAGTGCCATCTTGGGGACGCCCTTTTGACTGTTCCCTGTGCCTTTCAGGTCTCGAACCCTCGGGCTCAGCAATCCACTCACCTCAGCCTCCCAAAGGCGCAGGATTATAGGCTGAGCCACCAAACCTGGCTTAATTTAATATTTTTTATACCCTGAATTTGTAAAGGATTTGAGGAACTTATGAGATATAAAAACATTAAAATACCAAATGTTAAATAATAAAAAGCCAAGATCAGAAAAAATAGAGTAAAAGATGGTGCTGATGGGGGACACAGATATGCAGGCTACAAGTTTACACATAAAAGTAGATAGGGTTCTGGGCTGCTTAGTGACCAGAGCAAACGGGATACTTTGTGTAGTTACATAGTTTTCATTGTCCATCAATAGAAAACATACAAATTATTCAGAAAAATAAATATTTTACTGATTATTAGGGTTTACAAATCTTTTTTTCTAATATAGAGACAGGATCCCAATATGGAGCACCAACTTGGTCTCAAACTCCTGGTCTCAACCTATCCTCCTGCCTTGGGCTCCCAAAGTGCTGGGATTACAGGAATGAGCCACCACACCCAGCAGATAGTTTTGAAATAAATTTCCCCTGTGGGATTTCTTTTGATTGTCACGATTAGAAGGGTGCCGCTGGTATGGAGGCCAAAGATGCTACTAAATGTCCTATAGTGCATAGGACAGCTCCGCAAACAAGGAATGATTTGGTTCAAAATGTCAGTAGCATTGATATTGTTTATCCTGATGTAAATAAAAACTATATTGGGTCCTCAGTAATTTTTAAGAGTGTCCTGAGACCAAATTATTTTATAAGTCAAATACCTATTGAAGATTTGGCAGAGTGACAAAGTGACAGAGTGAGACTCCAACTCAAAAAAAAAAAATAACAATAACAATAAATTTATTACATGTTATATTTTTAATTAAAAAACTACATTTTTCAAACACACAAAAAAGAAACAGTAGTAAGGGTGCCAATGTTTTACATTTTTGGAAATCCTGTTAAGTCTTTTTTTTTTTTGAATTGGAGTCTCACTCTGTCGCCCAGACTGGAGTGCTGTGGCATGCTCCTGGCCACCACAGCCACGACTTGCTGGGCTCCGGTGATCCTTCTGCCTCAGCCTTCCAAGTAGCCGGAACTATAGGCACACGCCACCACGCCCGGCTAATTTTTTTTTTGATTTATAGTAGAGACGAGGTCTCGCCAAGTTCCCTGGGCACATCTCGAACCCACGGGCCCAGGCAATCCACTTGCCTCAGCCTCCCAAAGTGCCGGGATTATAGGCTGAGCCACCAAGCCCAGCCTCCTGTTAAGTCTTAAGTCTGGCTTAACACTACACCAGATAGTGGCTTCTCCTCTCTGCATTCAATCTATAGTGATGTTCTGTTTGAAGTATAAGAAGAAAATACAAGCCGGGCTCGGTGGCTCAGCCTGTAATCTCGTGCCTTGGGAGGCTGAGGTGAGTGGATTGCCTGAGCCTGCGGGTTCAAGACCC